AAGCTGAGCTCGTAATGGAACATGAAAAGTTCGACAGATGTATAGGTAAGGTGGACTGTTTGTCTGATTGATTTTGGCAGGAAAGATTAGGTACTGACTTCAATAGCTATATAAATATGTGGCAGGTTAAACTGCCCAATAACCTTAGAAATAGATTTATACAAATGCTTTATAGTATTCCTTTGCTTTCTCCAACAGGCACAGCCTGGGACCTCATAATAACCGTAACATTCATTTGGACCCCAGATGGTCTTGCAGGTGATGCATCCAAAAAGCTGTGATGCAATGTCAGAAGCATTTTTATTAGTCAGCCTTTGCACTATGGTAGCACCAAGGAGAAACTCAGCTAAGGGTCTGGGACTTACTGTGCTTTCGTGACACTGATAAACCTTTAACTAGGGAGATATCAACACATTTCAATTTATATGTAAATAGCTGTAAAATAATGATCTGCAGAGGAGAAGGAGCAGTTTAGAGGACTACCTATAAGGTCTGGAAATCTCCGTTCCATTTCTCTGTTCCAGTATTCACAATGGTCTACAGTGGAGCAAAAAAGATTATGATTCTACAATAGTTGTTCGGCATTGTGAAAATAAGTTAGTAATCTTTATTTGTCAATGTGCTTCAACACATCAACATTCATCATAAGGTGCAGTTATGAGCACTCACAGCAGAGATCCCAGTGGTCTGTCTGCCACAGTCTGTTGTTATTATAGTAGCAAATCACATAATGGGAGCAAAGCAGTGAAGTTTGTGTCAAAGTGAGTCATTTCATTTTTTAGTTACCACTTGATTTTTATTTTATCAAATTTAAATTCTTTTCTAAGGAAAATGTTTTAATAGATGAAAAATTATAACCTGCAGAAAATATCTGCAAGTAAATAGTTAGGTGGATAAAGGAGTATGGACACATGTATTTCAGGTTTAAACCAGGCTTATTGGCTGAACATACTAACTTGTACTGTCAGCTTGGGGCAGTTTTATACACAACCAAAATAAATAGCAACACCATGGACCACAAAGAGGTTTGCACTGATTGAGATAAATTGGCACATTTATGTATGTAGAATTCCCCTGTAACCACTCTCCCACCCTATAGGGTACACCCACCCTGCCCTGTGGGGAGAAGAGCACAACCCCCACCTACCTGGGGCATTCAGCTTTCCACGAGTGTAACAGTTCATGGAATTTCTGCTTTAGTGTCGTATTCCACATCTCTGAAGTATTTGGGCAGGAAGCTGGCTGGAGAGGCTGGTTTTTTTTTTTTTGTTTGTTTGTTTGTTTTTTATTCAGCTGTGTGGCACAGCACTTGGCCTCAGTCATTACCAGTTATAGGAATCAAATCTTTCTCTTAACTCAGTAAAATCTCAGTTCAGAGACACGACCCCCTTCCAGCTTGTTTGACAAAGGCACATAATCACAAGAGAGTTGGGCTGGTGCAGAACAAGCACTTAGATAAAAACCTACAAGTGGAAGAACAATGGTGCTATTCTAATTAGTTAAAACTATCATTTAATGCCTTTAAAACATATTGTACAATTAAAATAGTAGAAAATGAAATAAGATTGCTTCCTTACTGCAATTGGAAATTCCTTTGAATTTGTTTATTTGAAATAAACAAATGTTTATTTCAGTCATGGAAAATAAACCCTATTTATTAATTTCTATATAGATAAAATATTTTTGGTCTGTGGTGGAGAAGAAATTGAATGTAGTCTAATAAGGATCTCTCCTCTGAAGCACAATTAAACCTACAGCTTAATACTCAAGTGTAAGAGTTAGTTGTAGAGTGAAATTATTATAGGCTGCCTTGTAGTATAAGGTGCAGCCCTGAGCCTGGGAAAAGTCATTAACATGAAAGACAATGGAAATGTTAAACTGGGAAAATATTATCTAGTGATTTTCTTTCCCATCTTTCTTAAGAAAGAAAGGACATTAATACAATATAAGAAACAAATTGAAAGAATCATACTGAGGAAAACCTAGTTACAGCTGATCTAAGAAATCTAATTTACATGCTTGCATAGTTGTCTCCCAATAAATGGAGAACTTAGGATCAATTTTGAGTATGATGTAACCAGTGTGTATGTGTGTGTAGTAGATTTTTTTTTCATTTAATTTCTTGGATTAATATATGCTAAAAGGTGGTCATAGGCCAGAAAAAAAAAAAAATAATAATTGCTTCTTTCTTTATATCTTTATTGGCTTGCCCTTTGACAATATCATATTTCAGTGTCTTCTGCCAGTTGAGTGACAGACTGCCTGATTGAGCTTTATCATGTTGCCCTCTCGTGGGTGGACACAACAACATGTCATAAGCAAAGCATTCATGATGTCATAGTTTCAGCCTCTGGTGTACATATGACAAAGAAGACAAAAGCTGTAAAACTGATATTTATCACTGAAAATTTCATGGCTTACCATGTCACATTTATTATTTTTCTTCTATTAAATGTTCGTAGTCTGCTAAATAACAAAAAATAAATTATATTATTTCTTTAAACCAATTGCTTGTTCTTCTGTTTCAGACGTCTTGACATTCATGTTTGTTGTTGTTGATGATGATGTTCTGTTTGTTTGTTTGGGGGTTTTGTTTTATTTTTCTTTTCTTTCTTTCTTTTTTTTTTTTTTTTTTGTTTTGGAAACAGTGACACTAACATGGCTCTTTCTGCTTATTTAGCCAACATATCCTAAAACTACTAGATAGAAAGCAGTGCTTCTGAATTAAGCCAGAAGATAAATTGTTGCTTCCAATTACTTTTGTCATCCTTTGTTTGTTTATTTATTTAAAGTAACATGGATAATTCTGCTCAAGTATTTGAAACTGTGCATGACCACTTCCACTCAGTTTTAGAATGTCACTATTTAAACACTTTATATATATGTACATTTTCTTTGCATAACTTCAAGTAACAGAATCCCTTATGCTGTAGAATGTCAGTGAGACACTGTATGCTAGCAATGAGTTGCTCAGTCTGTAAAAAACAAAGGGAAACTTCTGTTTTCTTAAAGTTAGATAGAAATTTCTCCCTTGGCTGAGGCATATTCCAGTCTCGGATTGTGACCTTAAAGCTTCACAGGTTTCTTAAGCTCATGTAATTGTGGCAAAGCCCATCAAATCAAGATTAAATTGTTATGCAATAGGCCTTCACTGTATGATAGAAGTTTCTTGTATCCTGTACAGAGCACTCAACAAGCCACCTGGTATTTAAGTGAAACTGGAACATTTCACTGTAAAACGTAATTGATACATCTTGATAATCTCTTTGTTTCCATTACCATTCAGGCTATCCTGGTACTGGAGATTACTATTCTTCAAATTGTGTCCTGCTGAATTTAGTAGACTGTTACTTTCAGACTATTACCATGGCTGTGAAGCTGCTTCTTCAAGGAAAACAGGTTCCAGTCCCAGGATTCGGTATTTTCAGCAGACTTTTAGGAATGGCTGGACTCCAGACTCCAGGCAAACCCATCAGATGTATAGAATCTCTGATATGGAAAATTGTATTCTTGTGCTGTTCCATCAGTATATTGAAAACGGCATCCAACTTTGAAGCAGGATCCATGCAAAACAAATATTCATAATAATGTTTTGTTTTGTTTTGTTTTGTTTTTATTATTGATCTGTGATGTTCCATTTCCCCCTTTATCCAGAACAAATAACTTTATTGTGAATTTGTTGAAAACAGGGCAAAATGTTGTGAATATTTTTGCAATTTTTTTGTTGTTGCTCTTTTACTGAAAGGATTGTTTAAAATACCATTTTCCACTCATCACAATGCTACACATAATGTTGTTTGTTATGGCTGGGTACAATCATGCACATGTCTGAGTGTGTGCCTCTACTTTTTAGGTGCATGAAGTGAATTTTAATTAATTGTAGCTAGGATGGAAATGACAACAATACGACAAAACCTGCAGCTTGTGCTGTAGCAAATAATCTATTCTTGCTGCAAAATGACTGCCCTCTTCAGAGGCTGGATTATATTCTGTTTTGCCTCTTGTAGAATCACTTGGCCATACACAAAAGCCAGACAAAACGTCGGTCAGGCTTTAGTGCTGTTTGACTGCCGTTTGGCATGCCCATTTAATTACTGCACAAAGTCGACAACAATGCAGATTCAAGCTCCGGGTCCCGTGTTAACTTGATTGCACAACTGGGTCTCCACATTTAAAAACAGTTGAACAAAAAAGCCACCATGGAGTGATTAAGATTTATTTGGGTGCTGGAGCACACAGCTGCTGTAGGGAGGAGGGAGGGAGGCGGCACGCATCCTCAGGGCTCGCCTGTGCTTGGCTCAGGTCCCAGACGCGAGGAAAGGAACTGAGCGACCGTGCAACCTTTGTGCTCAATACTTCCTAAGGGCCGGCTTGATTCCCCAGCACAAACTGGATCTGTCCCACGGAAACACCACTCAACCCCCAGATTTGTGAAATTCACCTCCAGACGGGTCTGTGGCCCTTCTGTGCTGCTGAAGCAAAGCAAAGGGGTAAAGGCTGAGCAAGGACGGGGCTGTGAGTTTGTCTTTCCTAGATTTCCACAAAATTTGATTTCTTCACCAAAACAACTTGAATGCTTAGCAGTGTTTTCCAAAGATGAAAAAAAAAAAATCTTTTCACTGCTTTGCTGACATCTTTAACAATACAGGGGTGACCTATCCTGCAGCAGAAAGCTGTCTCTTGCTTCCTGCATTACTGATTATCCATACTGCTCATGTTTGCTAATGACCTAAGGAGCCTGTTGAGAAGGCAGAGTTGCAGAAATTAAAAATAAAAGAGTTATGAGCCCAGTGTTAGCATAGAAGCAAAACACTTAATTGTGACTGTTTTTAACGTGACCAATTATGGTGCAAATGTGCCCATTTTCAGGGAGCAGACAGTGCAGAATCTGATTTAAGATAAGCAGAATGAAAAGTATTATCTTCCCAAATAAGGGAGGCCATTCATATATTCAGTTGTATAGCTTTAGCAAACATGGAACAAATTGCTGATTTATTTTATTTTTTAATGTCATCAGACTTTTCTTTTTTTTTTTCCTTTTTTTTTTTTTTTTTTTGACCTGTTTTTAACAACAGGTTTTATTCAATTATTCATTTTTAAAACAGCAACAGCTGAGCAGGCTGGCAGAGTGCGTCCAAATGTTATGCCAGTGTCCTTTGCTGTCAAGACAAAATAAATAGTATAGTGATGCAAGTTGCATTAATTTGATTTTTATTTGATGTCTTTGGGATGAATGTGCTCATCAGCTCCATTCACTTTATTTTTCTCACTTTCACCTTACTTGTTTGATAAACTCTGCACTTATATAGGACAAAGATATTTTAGTACAGTAATAAGGGTCACAGTCACAGAAATGTGTTATGATTCTGTTAAATTTAAGAGGAATCTTCCTTTTTAATGTTCTTAGTGGCAGAGTCTTATAAAAGTAAGCAGAAGCAGCTGAAGGCCATCCATGCTATCTGCTTAAGGCCTTTGCTCCTATTATTAGCTTGCAGTTTCTGAAAGTGCACTTGTGCTGAGTATGTTAATACATGACTGTGGTAAGCATGTATGAGACTTCTGAGCACCATAAAGCCAGTCCAAATTATTCCTGAACTTCCCATGTAACCTGAGCAGCTTCAGACCTACTGACTGTGGCTCTTATTTGACAGAAAAATTAAGCATGTCTTTATGCTCAAAAGCCTTACCTAATCCTGAAGTACATTTACTTTCATTAAGAGCATTATGTTAATTGTGCCAAAGAAGAACACTTTCTTTAATGGTTGACATCTGTATTCAGTCCCTTAGTGTTTTCAAAGAATATCACCATGTATTGTGGCACAGTACCAGAAAGTCTTGCTGACTGCACTCTAAAAGAAACGAACATCGTAATGATATATTGGTGAGCAACTGAGCAATAAAGGCTGACCTAGTTTGAGAATTGTGAGATATTTAGTTATTTCCATAAAGAAGCAGGGCACAAAAGGACTTGGATGTCCTGGTGGACTGACAGATCTTGAGTCAGCAGTGTGCACATGGGCTGTGAAGGGCTGCTGAACCTGAATACAGCCAGGATGTCACCTGATGCCATTGTGTGCCCCTCCTGTACTGGCCCCTGGGTACAAGCGTGGGCAAAGAGTAAAAACAGAAGGACTTTTCTCAGGACAAAAGGACAAGAGAAAGCCTTCTCCAGGTGCAAAAGGAAAAGTATGGATTTAACACATCATAGAAAAAAAAAATTACTCTAAATTCTTCAGGATGTGAGAGCTGTAGCCCTGCACTAGGCTAACCCAAGTTTGTGGCAGCTCCATCCCATGGATGATCAAAACTTTTCCAGACAAGGCCCTGAGCAGCCTGATTTAACTTTGAAACTAGCCCTGCTTTGGGGGTGTAGTAGATGACCTCCAGTGAGCTTTCTACGGTTCTGTATTTAAAATCCAGTCAATGACACATTATTTTCTGTTTACATGCCTTGTAACTTTCAAACTTGCTGTTTGCATCTCAGACTAGTGCAGTACAATTTGCAGAATAAAAACATTTCATTTATGTGGTTGCATAAAAATTATTCATGCAATTTTGGTTCTCTATCTCCTTAAGCACAGCATGCTTAACGCAAAATATTACAACAACAGTGAAGTTTTTATGATGCACATCAGATACTCTACCTACTGGGAAAACCACAGTAGCAGAGCACTAGAAACCATCTCAAGCTTTTGCTAAAATTTGTCTGAGAGGTGACATTGGCCATACTTATACAAAATCTGACTGTACACATGCACTTATATGTATGAGTGTGCATACATGCACATGTGTACCCCCATACTCCACTAGAGCCTTACAGGATCTAGTTAATATTCACCAAGCTCTTGTGACTTGTTACAGGTGGAAAAAGTGATGCATAGAATAGAGATTTGCCCTAAATGAAATGGGAGACAAATAGCAGAATGAATGGAATATACTTTCCATTTGCTTACCACGAGAGCTATTTAATGGCCTTTCATACGTACCTAATCCAAAAGCAGCTGTAACTCCTTACGCAGCACAGGGCAGTATTGTCTAGCCATACCTCTAAGGTCCATGAACCATAAACAATCGAACATGATGGACTTGAGCACAGAAACTCTAACGTGCCAAGGGATCCTGTGACAATACCTCTTTGTAGCTAACTGTGTCAGCTCGTATGCTTAAGAAGACAAATTGCTGAGTGAGGCATTTTCTTCTGTTCCAGGCTGAGGATTTCTGTGAATTTTGCACATTTGTTTCCCCTTTCAAGAACATCGTACAGAGTAAATTGGACTGTTTGTTGGTACACTTGTCTGTGTATTTCTTTTAAAAGCAAACTGTAACATCCAAGGAAGTCAGGCCATAAATTTTTCAAGCTGAACAGACATTGATTTAGTTTCCTTCCAATTTGCAGCATATAAAAAACACTAAAATGAATTAAAGCACTGATAGTGTATACTCCCTGCTACTGACTTATTATGGCCTTCTTAATCCTTATCATTTCAGTAGCTGAGCTGTGCCAAACTGGTCTTCTGGACTTTCATTCATATTCAAATGACTGGGACTGGGAATACTTCTCACCTCTCCTCTCTGTACTTATTGCAGCTCATAAAGTAAAATCTGTACCAAGAGGCATCCCCTGCGAGACAAGTTAATGTGGCTGCTTCACCTCTGACTTTTACTGATTTTATGTTCTTCTTTGTAATCAATTGCTCCAGTATTTCTATTCATTTCTGAAAGTCTTAAATAATACAGGATGTCCTTCTACTTGCTTATTCTTGTTCCTTTGTCTCAAGAGATAGATGAGTCATGGTACGCTGAGCTTGGAAAGAGCTGGAGCCTTTCTGTATGCCCCAGACTACTGGGATTTACCATAGTCTGTGTGTGTGGGTCAGAGCCTCATCCTTCAAAGAGCAAAAAGCCTGTCACTGCAGGCAAAATTGAGGCCTTCCAGACTGTGCTTTTTTTTTTGGCTGCCCGACCTTTTGCAGCATGAGCAGCGGGGTTTTTGCATGCCTTACTTGTGTTTTTGGGCTTACCCGTGCAATAGTTTCTGATTGCTATGTATGTGGGTCACGTTCCTTCCTGAGACCTATGGTCAGGACAAAAAAAAAAAAAAAAAAGAAAAGTTTATTTAACTCTGTGGAGTGACAAAAACACAACAAGGAGATAATCCAGACCACCACCTCAAAGTGCATTCACTACCTTGTGGTTAGCAAACACGACATGCTCTTCAACACCAGTGAACTCAGTTTTGTTCACTCTCTTTGTTTACCCATCTTGCACATCTCTGTCCTACAAGACCTTATTTCAGAGTATCAAGAGTCTTCCAAAAAAAGGGGGGGGGGGAGAGGAGGAGTACAGGCAAAGAGGAAGATGTCAGACATCCAGGTGCAGCAGAGGCACTGGAATATTCTCTACTGATAGTTTGCTTCCCCATACCAGGCCCATGGCTCAGCCCCACCACCTGAGGCAGAGTGTGAAGCTTCCCTTCCTCCCTACAGAGAGAACAGAACAGCAGTTTGACACTGTTTTAACACCTCAGGAAGTGAGATCTGGATTAACCCAAGAGTTAGAGTAGCTAAACGTGAGTCCCATATCCCACAGTGGTGGTGAACAACACTGGGCTTACCAAGTATCAGGGTTTCCCTCTTTTATTTTTGAATGTGTGCAACTGTGGTTTGCAAAGAGAAAAAGGCTGGTTACAGTGAAGTCTGCAAGTTCCAAACTGACATACACAGTCATACTGTGATTCAATTCTTTGCAGATCCATTAACATGATTGTTAAGCTCTACATGACTGGGCTGGATGCTTGACTTCCTCCCATTCCAAAACAATTTAAAGGCACATTCATTTTCTCAGTTGTCCCTATGGTGCTATGTAGAAAAGTGACACATAGCGATTGCTAAATTAACTAACTGCTGTTGAAGTGTCAGACGATGAGAAGAACAAAATAAATATTGGGTCTAATTATTAGTGCTGACTTCTTTCTCAGTGGCTTGCAGATGCCCCACTATGGAGTGGACCCTTGTAAATGCTGAACTCTAGATGGAAGTGTTGGGATAGTTCCTAGTGAAAGTCATATCAGGGTAGTAAAGGTGCTAAACAGCTTCCCACTAGGGAATCTTCTTGGTCAACAGGGGACCTTTGGGTGGTTTAATAAAGCTGTGAATACCTGTTGCTTGCAATTGATCTTTGAATTACCAAAAAAGCTAGTAAAATGTTAGTGTTAATCTCTTGGTGACTATTTGTAGCTGGTACCTAAACTGGTGAAAAAAAAAGTCTTTTTTTTTTTTTTTTGGTTCCTCTCAAGTGGATGCAGTGCATCAAATATTGAAACACAGTTCTCATAACACCATTTAAATTAAGCTGTCTCTAAATAAGTGGCTTTACAGCTTTTCTTTCTCAGTGCTCATTTAACATAAATTACACCAGCAATGGAGACTGCCAAAGAATAAAAAGGATTATGAAGAGCTAGCTGTTTGTCTATGGGCAGGTCATTTTATAATCTATCAGCTATTCAGTTCCAAGCAATTGTGCAATTTTTATTACTAAATCAAGATAATAGATGCTTTACCTGGTAGGATCACAACCAATAGCTCAGATATAAAGTCAGTGGGGATACACACACACCATAATTACTTTGTCCTATTCTTCAATTAAAAAACACAAACTCACCAACAAAAAAGTGGGTGCTTTTCTTGTTGCAGCTCAGTGAAAAAAAGTAACATTCTCTTCTTCCTGGAAAACCAGAATGACCACGTTGTTCCTGCATCAATAACTGCACCTGTAATTTGAATTTTTGTACTGAGGTTTTAGTAAATGTCATTATTTGAAAAATGTTTGTTATGGTGAACTTCTCATAACACAGACTGAAATTTAGAAACCCACTGTTTTTCCTAGAAAATATTCTCTAAAGGAAATAAATAAAAAAGGTTCAAGCTTCATTCTTGTGGCCTGCAGACTACAAGAGCTTGAAGTAGTAATATGTGTCAAAGTATAAAGTTCTTAAGCTATTCATTTCAGATGAAATTGTAGAATAAAATGATGCCCCTTTTCCTGGCTGAGCCAGCCCTGCGCTGCAGCCCTTCAGACCAGAAGCATCTTGCTGTTTGCCAAACCTGACCAGATTTATCAATGTCCTTCCTTCAGTTGGAGGCTGAAACCCAAATGCTGTACCCAGATAAGGTCTGATGACCACTGAGCAGAGGGGGCTGTCTCTGCCTTCTTCTGCCTCTTTGGTCTATGCCCCACTCACACTGCTCCTGTCACTGCTGTCCCCTGTTGCCTGTCCCCAGATAGTGTTGCTGCAGGGGTCTGCCTTCCCAGTGCAGGGCTTAGCCTTTGCCCTTGCTAAATTTCATGGGGCCCCTGTCTGCCCACTCCTCCCACCTGCAATTCTGCAGTCCTCCCAGACTGCAATTCTGTCCTTGAGTGCACCCAGTGGTTGTGCCCCCTGTCAATTTGTTGTCTTCGGCAAACCTGATGATCACTTCCTCCATGCCTGATAAGCATGTTGAATTCATTCCAGGATAGATCAAGTAGCAGCCCACTTGTTACCCACCCCCATGTAGGGCACAACCCATTAACCACATCTCTCAGAATCCGAACATCTAAACGTTTTTTTCCCCCTTCTCTTTGTCCTTCCATTCACAGAATCACAGAATTTCTAGGTTGGAAGAGACCTCAAGATCATCGAGTCCAACCTCTGACCTAATGCTAACAGTCCCCACTAAACCATATCCCTAAGCTCTACATCTAAATGTCTTTTAAAGACTTCCAGGGATGGTGACTCCACCACTTCCCTGGGCAGCCTGTTCCAGTGTCCAACAACCCTTTCGGTAAAGAAGTTCTTCCTAACATCTAACCTAAAACTCCCCTGGCGCAACTTAAGCCCATTCCCCCTCATCCTGTCACCAGGCACGTGGGAGAACAGACCAACCCCCACCTCTCTACAGCCTCCTTTAAGGTATCTGTAGAGAGCAATAAAGTCACCCCTGAGCCTTCTTTTCTCCAGGCTGAACAAGCCCAGCTCCCTCAGCCGCTCCTCGTAGGACTTGTTCTCCAGGCCCCTCACCAGCTTCGTCGCCCTTCTTTGGACCCGCTCAAGCACCTCGATGTCCTTCTTGCAGCGAGGGACCCAAAACTGAACACAGTACTCGAGGTGCGGCCTCACCAGAGCCGAGTACAGGGGGACGATCACCTCCCTAGCCCTGCTGGCCACACTGTTTCTTATACAAGCCAGGATGCTGTTGGCCTTCTTGGCCACCTGAGCACACTGCTGGCTCATATTCATCAGCTGACTATCAACCATCACTCCCAGGTCCTTCTCTGCCTGGCAGCTCTCCAACCATTCCTCTCCCAGCCTGTAGCTCTGCTTGGGGTTATTGCGCCCCAGGTGGAGGACCCGGCACTTGGCCTTGCTAAACTTCATGCAGTTGACCTCAGCCCATCGGTGCAGCCTATCCAGATCCTCCTGCAGAGCAGGATCGACACGCACCTAGCTTGGTGTCATCTGCAGACTTACTGAGGGTGCACTCAATGCCCTCGTCCAGATCATTGATGAAGATATTACAGAGGACCAGCCCCAGCACCAAGCCCTGGGGAACGCCACTAGTGACCGGCGTCCAACTGGATTTGACTCCATTCACCACAACTCTTTGGGCCCGGCTATCCAGCCAGTTTCTAACCCAACGAAGCGTGCACCAGTCCAAGCTAAGAGCAGCCAGTTTCCTGAGGAGAATGCTGTGGGAGACGGTGTCAAAAGCCTTGCTGAAGTCAAGGTAGACCACATCCACAGCCTTTCCCTCGTCCACCCAGCGCGTCACTTGGTCATAGAAGGAGATCAGGTTCGTCAAGCAGGACCTGCCTTTCATAAACCCATGCTGACTGGGTGTGATCGCCTGCTTGCCCTGCAAGTGCTGTGTGATGACTCTCAAGAGGATCTGCTCCATGAGCTTCCCTGGCACTGAGGTCAAACTGACAGGCCTGTAGTTTCCCGGGTCTGCCTGCCTTCTTGTAGAAGGGCGTCACGTTTGCTAGCCGCCAGTCAGCTGGGACCTCCCCCGATACCCAGGACTGCTGATAAATGATGGATAGTGGTTTGGCCAGCTCCTCTGCCAGTTCTCTCAGTACCCTTGGGTGGATCCCATCCGGCCCCATCGACTTGTGCACATCCAAGTGCCATACCAGGTCACCAACCATATGTGGTTGTGTGACTTCGTGGATAGTGAGGGCCACATCCTGCTCCCCATCCCCTTCCACCAGCTCAGGGTACATTCGGGCTGCAATGTATCAGTTTGTACACAAGAATATTGTGGAAGACAGTGTAGAAAACCTGAAGGAAGACAGGTCATTAAGGTGCGAGCAACTCTTGGTAACTCCATGCAGACTCCTGCCAGAGACCTTCCCCTTCATGTGCCCCCAGCATGTGCTGTATCGTATGATTGAATACATCTCTCAAATTGTGTCATACAGATTGATAACAGTATGTAGGCAGGGGGGATAGAACAAGCACAGATTAAAAGCTTTTCCTTGACCTTCCCCAACCACGTTACTTAGACTTCTATGTCCCCATAAAATGCAGGCTTCTAACTACATGTCCAGTCAAGGCCTCAGAGGATTCAACAGCTTCTTAGAGCACATACTTAATAGCAGATTTCATGAGTTAAAAAACCTCAGACACAATCTGTTATGCAGGTACAAAATCACAGACTAACTTTCCTGAATTCAAAAGGATAAGTGATAGATGTAATGGACAGATTTTATGTGTTTTTTTTTTTTTTTTTTTTTTTTTTTGTTTTTCATTTTTAAAATATATTTAAGGACTAAAGAAAGCAATAAGCAATGCTTTTGCTGCACTTGTGTGAAGCTTCAAAAGGGACTGTAGAGCTGGCAGCACTGCTCCTGTATGGTTATGACATTCTCTGTAAAGCATCAGCCCTTTCAAGGGACCTTTCAACAATAAATACTTTCCACTAGAGGCAAAAAGCTGCTCACAATATTTAAGGTAATCCTCTCAAGTTGCTATCCAACTATTTGAGGTTTAAGCCTATACACTAACAGTACAATAAAACATTTTCATTTCCAAATAATTTGAAGTTCAAATTCCAGAAAGCATGTCTATGAAAGGTGGGGAAAAAGGACCTGAAAACCACCTAATTTTTCTAGAGAGGGCATGTCCACAGAAGAAAAATAAAAAAATAGTAGAATGTAGAAGGTTTCTTTTAAGTCTTTGTATTTTAGTCATTTATCTTGAATTAATGCTCAGTGTTTTCTATGTTGAAGCAATTTATTATGCACAAAAGAGTAGCTTTGTTACTTTTGGCTTCTGTAATCTGTAAAGTTTGTGGAATGCATTTTTTTCCATAGAATAGGTCTGATATTGAACATTTTCTATTACTTGGCAAAAGCTGTGTACAGCTCCTGACCAGGGCCATGGAAGGGAGAATTAAGACCAGTATCATTCAACAAGCAGTCTTTATTTTAGATTTTGAACAGTCCAACTGTATGATTTCACAGAGTCTTTCTGTCCTGCTCTTAAGGCTTCTTCATGGAGAAGGGGAAATCTGCAAAACCTTTTCAAGAGAGGGGAAAAAAAACAGGAAGCCAGGAATGTATTGAGTTGGCTTTTGCACTTCAGCAGAGCAGAACTCTTCAAGCATCTTCTTCTGGCAACACAAACCATTGGTGTGAGTCAGGTCAACAGTAAGAGAAGTGTGGTTCTTTACAGACATACTGTGGCAGGTCTACAGCAAGCAGTGGCAGGCATTCATTTGCACCCAAGGCTACTGAGAGTACTTCCAGAGCTGTAAACTTCCCCCCCTCCCCCGCCTTATCGGAGGTTTCCCACACAAATTCTTCCAGCTTAAGTACTTGTTTCTGACCATTTTCCCTAATCTATGTAGATTCAGCACTCACACAAAAATAGATAGATGTGTCTTCACTGTATTTCAGCAAAGCTCTTATGGGAAAAAAAAAAGTTAAGTATTCTCATTAAAAATGTAGGCAAATAAAAGTTAGCTTGGGAAAAAGCACACACTGCAGCTACCTTGTAGAGGAATGGGGTGGAGAAAGGGAAGAAGTGAAGTACTGAGCAATTTCAATTCCCCGTGTATGTATCTTCCTCTGCTTTTGCTGGTATTGTAGATATTTTACATTATATTGCTCAAAGGCAGATCAAATAGTAGGGAGGAAAGAATGTGGGAGCAGAGGGATGCTATTAAAAGAAATTTGAGTATTTGTAAGGGAAGGAAAAAAAACACAGTTTTAAAGCTAGCTCTGCACTCACATTGGCTAGCAGACACAACAGAAATAAGTAGTAGCCAAAACCAGAGGGCTTTGAATTCAGCCGGGATAAAAAGAATTGTTATAACCTCGAACACCTCAATAACCAACTGAAGCCATGTTTATGCATCTATTGGCAGCATGTTCTTCAAGAAACAAATAGAGCCAAGTTACCCATGAAACTTCACCAAAGGGGTTATTAATGTCACATTGCTCTGGGAGCCTGTGAGATTGCAGCTGAGGAGCCCAGGCAAGGATGAGCTCCTAGAATCCAGTTAGCAGCCATCAGCACAGCCACAGGCTGCTGCAGAGGCAGTGCTTTGTGCAGCTACACCACCTTCATTAGGTGCCAAAAAAAGTCACATGACAGCAATAAAACAGAGACAGAGACTTGCAGATGGCAGGAGAAAAAAAATTGTTCAAAGATAGTAAGGCATTTGTCTATGCAAGTTGGATCTTTTTTTTTTTTTCCTCTCAACAGAAAGAATCCCTGACTACTCTCCAAGCCTGCTGTGGAAATAAACAACTTCATAACAGAGAAATGAAGAGAGGTGGGGCAGAAAAACATAAGTGAGATTAAAAGCCAAACATTGTCTATAACTAAGAGAAGGCCATTTTATATAAGCCCCTGCTACTGCTTGATATCTCCCACCCCTCCACAGCTAAGCTGGTACAAAAGCTGAAGAATGGTAAACAGAATTAGTTCATCAACTTACAGACTTCAGTTTCAGCCTCCACTGAATGTTAATATCAGGAAGAAGTGCCTTTATTGATTATTCCGTCTGCCTTTTGGTATGGTACCAGTAACAGCAATGAACTTTAGCAAGAAAAAGGAGCTGTACATCTTCTGTGAAAAGAATAAAAAGGCAAAGCCTCTTGCCTGCATTTAGCTACCATGAAAGTTCATAATTAACAAGCTGGCTGAGAATTCTGTTTTAGGCTTTGTCACATTTCAACACAAGTACTTCAGATTATCCCAAGTTAGACAGCTAGGAGAAAAAAAAAATATAGTTGAACTAATAACTAGTAACTAATAACCCTTACATATCAGAGTGAAATAAAATATCACAGAAAATATTAGCAAAATAGAGTATTCTTAACCAGAAACTTAAGAGCTCTCCTTACACTCTGATCTTCACAACTCATTTTAGTTCACGTGCATTCCAGAGATAGCAAACATCTAGACACAGACAAGAGTTGCCAGAGATGCTGGCTGAAGCTCCAACTCCCCCAAGAGTAGTTTGCTTGCTAAATCTGCAGAAGTTGGCAGCTATCCTCATCTGTCAAGAAATACACAGAAGAGCATTAAGAGAGCAGATCCCAGATGTAACTGCAATGAGAACAGACATTAGAACCAAGTCCAGGAACTGATCCAAGTCCTGTCTTGATTTTTATTGTTTCTATTTTAGTGTGAATGATAAAGAATGATTTAACAAGTCATCACGAAAGCATGAC